AGTAAACAGCCATCAGTGTGCTAATGATCCATTGTTAGGCTGATGGTCCTTCTTGAGCATGTGATCAGCTGGTTTTGGTTGTCAGCAGCAAAACTGGTTGATCCACTCTGAGACGGTGCTATTTAAGAGACTGAGCTGAATACAGCTCCTCAGACTGAGGAAGTCTCTCGGATGAGAGACAAAACGTTTCTACATTTTTTTGTTGATTTGCTTTGTTTTGTTTTTTTGAATGTCCAGAGGACCAGATTTAACTTTTTTAGATTTTTCTACCTGGATTATTGAGCATGCATCAGGATAAATCTAGCCACCTTGAATTTTCTAAAAAATAAATAAATAAAATAATAATAATAACAATAATAAATAAAAATAACAGGTGTAAAACAGAAGTTCAGGTTATGGAGAGAAACTTTACTGGCTAAACACGTCTGTTGCACAAATACTGTATCTTGATGAAAGAAAGGGATTCGGAGAAAAAAAGCTAACTGAACAAAAAATTTAGGTCATTTGATGTGAAAACAATGATAAAGAATGATGAATTCAACATGTAGACTCCCAGGAAAAGGCAGACTTTCTTTTATTATTCCTCTCCCAGTCTCCTTGTGTATAATCCACCATCTTCCCTAAAATGTTAGTCTCTTAAACTGGAGCCAAATTGTTTCAACCAAAGAGTTGAAGAGTTTCTTTTTCTTTCAGCTGTTCCCTTCTTCAAGGGTCACTACTATGAGTGAACTCTCATGAAGATTTATCAACTGTCTTTCTGCTACTGAGCCACCACAGCCCACATGTGTGGCGCAGAGGGATGCCTGGGGATCAGATTTGCGAGGAGGGGGAGATGTTAAGGGCCTTGCTCAAGGGTGCAGCATAGGGCAAATAAAAGTGGAGCATCTGTGTATTTAATGAATAACACAGAATGAGACATAAAACCTATATAGCCCAACTTTATTGTCTTGGATGGGGATCGCTTGTCTCGTATTCTAATATTTGTACAACAACTGACCCTTTTGGCACAGAGGGACACCTGCAAAAGGGTAAGGGATTTCTTAAAAATGTCACCAAGTAAAATTCCATTCGAGTCCTGTATTTTCTTAAACCAAGGCTGGATAAAAGGAATGTTTGTGTTCCTAGTTCATTTTCAGTCCTGAATTGGTGGGAAAAAGTTCAAATCAAATGTATCCTTGTAAATTGCAGAGCATTGCAACGATCAAGAATGACTTAAACTGAAACTGAATAAAAAGTATAACAAATTTGGCCCTATTCACAAAAGATGATGAACTTGCTGAAGTTTTCACAACCTGCATGAAAAGGACTGCAGCCAATTGGAGAGCCTTTCAGTGTGAAGGCAATTTCATAACATTGCTAGTACTGACCAAAAAGTATTTTCCCATTTTTTGCATGCCCAAGATGCTCTCCTATGTCTCACCATACACTTAACACTTGTCATGGGCCAACTCTCAGCATAAAGATACTGCTCCAACTAGATCATGCCACCTACCAGAAAACATATTGTAGTGAACCAGATGACCTCAAATCTACCAGATGGACAGAGACTGTTATTTTCATTGATCTGAATAAGTCTGGGCCATCTGATGACTTTCTTTCTTGAATTAATCAAGCAGAAAAGACAATCCTCTACAATCATTACTGTTTTACAAATGTTTTGATAATCAATTGTGTTAGTTTCACTCAATTCTTACAGGTTGAAAAGAACTACTCATTTTTATTTTACATAAACAGTAAGTAATGATTTTTATTCCTCATTCAAAGCAGAAATCACCTGAATATGCATTTCTTGATTTTCTGTCTGAAATGAGTCAAGTCGTAAGTATGTGAAAGGTTGGTTTTCGGTCAACTAAAATGTTTACCGAGAAAAATGTCATGTTTAAACTTTTTCAGAAGATTACCAAGAGTAGGCTCCAAAAAGTCTGCTGTTTCTGCAATAATCTTTTCTGTATGTGAAAACAGATTCATTCCCTGACCTTGATTTTGATAACAACTTACGTCACGAAAACACACCTCTTTCTGGTACATCCACGAATCAGAAAGCTCTAAATTGAACAGGAAGTCGACCCAAATAAAATGTGGCAACTTCCCAGTTCATGCTAGAGTGAGAGTTCATGGAAGAGTGAGAGTCCAACAGAGAAAGAGAATGAAAAAGATTCCATGGAGAATGGAAAAGTTCTGAAGGAGTTCAGAAGAGAACTAGAGTTATGAAGAGTTTTGGAGTTGCCGAGAATCCAGAGACGTTTGGGATTATAATTCTGTTTTGAGCTAACCACGCACGACTCTCCGAGGATTTTAGCTGTTCTTAACGGAGGCGCTGGAAACAGTCTGAAGGATGCTTACTGAGCTGATCTATCGTCAAACCAGGTAAAGACTTCTTCTTCGACTAAAGTGTACCGTGGACGGGCTGAGGATCTGACGGAGCGTGCAACTTCTGGTCAAACAGATTAAATTCCCTCACATAGTTCTCTGTAAGATAATCTCCTTTCATCTTAAACTCTTCTCTCTCACAAAATCAGTACAGATATTTTAGAAATATCTGAAGCAAAGTCCTCAAATCACCGCCGAGTGATTTGAAGTTCATTTTCTGTGAAACTGTCTGTTATTATTTTCATATTTTGCCAAATTAATGTAAATGTTTGATGTTAAACTTTGATTCTGAAAATAAATGATTCCATTCATTTGATGGGTCAAAGATAATAACGTCTCTCGTTCGCATTCCTTTAAATTCAATGCACGGCATTACACAGTCAGAAAGATGAAGAACTCGTGAATATAGTATGCATATAAACGGGGATATATTGTCATACTACAAGTGACACGTACCCACGTGACTCACTACAATATCATGCTTGATGGCATCATAATCACAGTTAAAGCCTAGTTATGGCCAGTGTGGCCAATCCTGATTCAAACCCTCAACAACCAAATCATGCTGGTGTGAATGGGCCCCAAGCCCTGATATGCTGCCAACACAATACTAAACTACTAAAGTCTTGCAATGAAAGTTTTGTTCACTATCAAAACTACTGTGGGCCTTTCACACAAAATAGCCTACTGCATTTTTAATATGTACCTGAAGTTCTTGCAAAGACCATGCAAGAACCATTCATGTTTTGGCTGATGATTTACATAATATCAGGGTCGTCATCAATATAAAAGAGGTTTTAATAACTTTAAGTCTGTTTATGTTGAATCCCAGTTTTAAACACAAAACTGAATTGTTTTTCTACTGTCTAATAACATATGAAATATATCCGTCATTAGCCTTTCTGACAGCACCATTGCATTGCTTTTCCTTGTACAATTGTACTCCAGTGCAGTTTGTTTAAGGTTAACTCTTACAGTTTCTTTCGGCTGCTCCCTTCTTCAGGGGTTACCACAACGAGTGAACTCGCATGAAAGATTTGGCAATTTATTTTACGTCAGATACCTTTCCTGGCGCAACCTGGGCTTGAACCCACAACCTCAGAGTTACAAGATGACAGCACTGACAATCGAGCTTCTGCTGCCACTTATTAAGATTAACTATGTTTTGTTACCTGTACAGATGAGGCCATCATGTTTGTCACACTCTCGGTCGTCACATTCACAGTAATTTCCCGATATCCACCACTCTTGGGGAGAGCAGATGCATTGACCACAGTGACAGGAACCTGCGTTAAACACGTACACACATAGCAAACAAAATTACTGATTTGCATCACATTTTATGTTTAAAACTTTTACTGTTCATGCTTTTGTATGTATTTTCAATACCAGCCACTTGGCATGTTTATGTTTTTTTTTTCAATAAATGCAGTTTGTATGGACAGAAACACCCCTAAGGAAACAGGGTAAAGTTTTCTAAATAAAGAAAAAAATGAGATTATGGACTTTCAAGCTTATAAATTGTGTGTGACTATCTGACAGATTGTCAAAACCTGACACAAGAAGGTTCCACCTTTGTAAAAAAAATAATAATAATAAAAAAAAAGCCCAGCTTACGTGGCAGCAGAAAAGCAAGGGATACCAATAAGGTATAAGTTCTTGAAACTACAATTCAATTTCCAAAAAAGTTCAATCTGGTCCTCTGGACATTCAAAAAAACCAAAAAACAAAACCAAGCAAAAAAATCTAGAAACGTTTCGTCTCTCATCCAAGAGACTTCCTCAGTCTGAGGTGCTGTTTTCATCTCAGTCTCTTAAATAGCACCTTCACAGTGTGGATCAACCAGTTTGCTGCTGACAACCAAAACCAGCTGATCACATGCTCAAGAAGGACCATCAGCCTAACAATGGATCATTAGCACACTGATGGCTGTTTACTACTCACAGAGGGCTGAGTGATACTAGCAATCACAGCATTGTAAGAGGGGGACAGTTGAACCCGGAGGCCTCCACCCCTGTTTAATGATGGACGATTTCTTTTCACAAAGATGGCCTCCTTTACTCCTCTCTCAAACCATCGTTCCTCTCTGTCCAGGATGTGAACATCTTCATCCTTGAAAGAGTGACCGCTGGCCTGGAGATGAGTGTAGACCGCAGAATCCTGGCCTGATGATGTTGATCTTCTGTGCTGGGCCAGGAGAAATCCCACACAAAACAGGCTCTAGAGCAATGTGGATATCCTAACTGGGCCTTCCTGAAAGCAGAGAAGAAACCCAAACAGGACTCCAGTCAGCCATCAGGTGAAAAGGAGGAACCCAGACCCAGACCAGTGGTCATTCCGTATGTTGAGGGGGTATCAGAGAAACTGAGACGTTTATTTTCTAAACATAACGTCCCAGTGGCTTTTAAACCCCAAAATACATTACGGCAAAAACTGGTTCATCCCAAAGATCCAGTCCCCCGGCACAAACAGAGTAATGTTGTGTATGCTGTTCAGTGTCAGGAGGGCTGTGATCAGTCTTACATCGGGGAAACTAAACAGCCACTGGCCAAAAGG